TCTTGTAAGCTGAGATTCAGCTCGCTGGAGGTTTTTATGGTCAAGTTATAACTGCCTGTAAAGCAGGGGTTTAAAATGGAAGTGCTGACAAAACTTTTAAACTACAACAGTGGAAATGGCGCCGCAATAATTTATAATCTACAGGCAGCTTTGGATTTATTATCACAATGACAAATGCACTGTCATTGTTAATAGGATATTTCCCAGCAAGGACTTCTTGTTATGCAAGCCAGGTTCACTATGTCATGCAGCATGATAGCAATAAAGTCTACAAGAATTTGCAATGAACTTCAATTACTAATAGATTATGGTTAATGGGAAATATGTGCAGTAAAGATATGGGTTTTTATATGCGCCTTCTGGTACTCTACAAGGCAATGATTTATGCTACAATTTATGTTAACATTCTCCAGTACGAAAAAAAGCCTAAATTGGTGGAAAGCCACTCCATCCATAACAAATATTTAAGATAATTTTGCACATCATGTAAATGAAGATGTAAAATTAGATATTAATCCATTTCATTTTAGCATTTGTATTTTTATTAAAAATGAAGACTTTGCCCTACTGTGTAATGACATTAAAAAACCCTATCATGGGCTGCAAGCATGAATTACACTGATGCAGAAATGGCGACAGCAACCGTGCTGTAAGTGCATTTGTTCAATTTGCCGTTGTAATTAACGGAGCAGTGAGAATATTTTTCTACGTACGCTTTAAAGGAGCAGCCCTGAAGCTGCTCAGGCAGATGTGTTTGATGCGGAGGGGATATACAGAGGAAGACCGGGCTCCTTTGGAGGGGGCCAGCCTCCTCCTCCCCCACTTTTGCTCTCCCCCAGCCTTCCCGCGTGGCGTTGCTCCAAAGCCATGCCTCGTCCCTGGGCATCGGGCTATTCCCTCCCCTGCGCAGCAAACCTCCCGCGGGAATTACTTTGGGAAATAATCACCTGAAGCAGCATCAGAGCCACGAGCTCACGTTTACTTATCAGAGAGACGCAGGCCCGGGTGTTCGCCTGCTATTTCAAAGGAGAGTTCCTTCTCCTCCTCCCTCCCTCCCTCCCTCCTTCCTTCCCTCCCTCCCTCTCTCCCTCCAGCTTTTTTCTCCTGTACCTGTAATATAACCCATATATTCCAGGCTTATGTGCCCGTGAAATGAAAAGAGAAAAGGCTGTCTCCCAATTTACAAACAAGCCCTGTTCAGAACCATCTCTGATGAACGTATAGATGCAACGTTAAGGATCGCATTTGCCCAGAGTCACATTTCTGCAAAATGTTTACACTGCATATCTGAAACGTGTATTTAGGCAGAAAGGGGCACCCATGCATGAAGAACTTGCAGGATCATTTCTGGCATATTTTTAATACAGGTAGCCTCACGCCCAGCTTGTTTCAATCAGTGTTATGCTGGTTTAAGACCATCGTTCTCAGTGAACCTCTGTATAAAGCCTATAAATTCACTTTCTAGGGTTGCACGTGAGGAAGACCCATCCCACTGGCCCGCACATCCAGCTGAGGGTTTGTAAAGAGTGAGACTGGTCTGGAGATGTACTTTTGGGCTAAAATTCTGCTGGTTGAGATAAGGCAGACTTTCTGAGAGGAAAACAACTAATTCGGTGCAGAAAGCACACAGGTAAGCTCAACGTTGCCATATAAATCCCAGCCCGTGGGCAGGCTGGACTCCCCAAACATGCTCTGGAGTAGCAGTATCTCACTGTACAATTAAGGGTGGCTCTCGCATGAAAATGTGGCTCTTCAGGCTATTAGGCAATTGTTTGAAAGATTTACAAAGCTACTTCATTTTTTATGGTCAAATGAGCATAAAATTGTGCTTCCCCACACTCATTTCCTACTAAATAATACTTACAGTACTTACTTCATGGAAATGTGTGTGTTACAAATTTAAAATTAAAAATAATATATCCCTTAAGGGTGCTCTTCTGAGCTCAGTTTTCCCCCAGCCCCTTAACAGAAGCAGCTGCATATGCAGAATGGAGTTTACTGTAATTCACACACACACACACACAGTTTTTTAATGACATTCATAGAATCATAGAATGGTTTGGGTTGGAAGGGACCTTTAGAGGCCATCTAGTCCAACCACCCTGCAGGGAGCAGGGACATCTTTAACCAGATCAGGTTGCTCACAGTCCCATCCAACCTGGCCTGAAATGTTTCCAGGGATGGGGCCTCCGCCACCTCTCTGGGCAACCCCTGCCAGGGTTTCACCACCCTCATTGTAAAACATTTCTTCCTTACATCTAGTCTAAACCTACCCTCTTTTAGTTTAAAACCATTACCCCTTGTCCTGTCACTACAAGCCCTGCCAATAAGTCTGTCCCCATCTTTCCTATAGGCCCCCTTTAAGTACTGGAAGGCTGCAAGAAGGTGTCCCCGCAGCCTTGTCTTCTCCAGGCTGAACAACCCTCAGAAGCAAAAGCAGGGGCAGAAGACCGCCCTGATGTGTCTGGTTTTAGATAAGGAGTTTTCCTCTCCAGCCTGGGGTGAAGGTGCCTTTTTCACCAGTGAATTCTGCCTTTAAATAAGCCCCCGAGCCACTCCACGCACCCAGCAGCGCTCCCTCTACCCGGCCTCTCCCTTTCTGGTTAAAGACGGGAAGGAGTTTGCACGTGCGTTCACACCGAATCCCATTTTTTTGTGTGTGCAGGGTCATATCCTCCTCTCTTCTCCCCACATCATCTCTGCTCTTCCTCGTCTTTCCTGCTCTCTCCCACATTTTGAGAACAAACCTCCCCTAAAAACTCTAAAAAGCTTTCTTCTTGTATTTTTTTTACCTCTGCTAAACCGGAAAACAACAGGACCTGCATGGGCATCCTTGTTGCTGGGTTTTGTTGTTGGATTTGGGTTTGGGCTTTTTTTTTTTTTTGTTCTGGCATTTCTGTGGCACCCAAAGATATGTCACTGCTGACAGGGTTGATGGGGCAATATTCAGCGGTCACCTCCTTCACACGCGCAATTTAGACGAGGTCACTGACAGCACAAAAGAGCTGAAAAAATAATTGTAACTTTAATTTGTTTCCCATTAGCAATGCATGCAGCAATCTGTCCTAATGAGAGATTTTCCCTCTTTCCCGCTTCAGCATGTCACCGTAACAGCTTACAGATATACTGAGGTCTTCTAATGCAGGAATCTGTACACGGCACTGTGTAAAAGCAGTAATAGATTTTGTTCTGTTCAACAGCTGAGAAATATCACAGAAACGTTCTAAAAATACACTGGAATGAGTATTTGGTCGCTAGGAGAAGTGTGTGTTTCAAACAATTCACTCTAAAACGAATACAAACAGCTAGTAATGCCTGGTCTCTTGTAAATCACTTCAAATCTTTAATAATATACACTGTATATAGAAATGTGTATGCAAAAATAAAACATAATTTCTTGCAGCTAAAGCATTACCTAAAGTAAACCATTTCAACACCAAATCAAATTATTTCAATGGCAGAAATCACACCAGTCCCACTGGATAAACTGGAGTATTCAGACTATTAAATGCATCCAAGCAACAATATTGTATTCCATCATGCACGGTGCCTTGCAGAGAGCATAGCACTTCTTGAAACTGTAAAATCATTTAGCAAAACAAATGCACAAACTACCGGAGTAGAGACAGCCCCACATGGAGAAGGGACAGAGGAGGCAAAGCATCTTCTTGCCGAACACCCTACACTATGTATTGGAGAGGTTTACCTGACATAACCCCATTGAAAATGGAACAAATCCCACTGAAACCTATCGGTTTGGCGTCAGAGCTCATTTTTACGTCTTCCGCGCTACCAAGCTCACAAGCTGCACATGGCCCTTGCTGCCAGGCTAGTGAAAGGCTGCCACCAGGGGGGTTGTGTGCTTAGCTAAAAATGCCCCAAAGCCCTGTGTGGCAGCGGTAGCTGATTCCTTAGAAAGGCTTTGCATCAGGGCTCATCAGCCAAACCCACCTCTCCGGGGCAGTTGTTACCACTGCTCTGCCTCAACCATCTTCAGCTGCTTTGCTCTTACAGTGCCAGCATGGAGCTGACCACACATCACTCTGCGGGTACAACATCATAAAAATAAAGTGAAAATTCAAGGCCGCGCCTTGAATCCTGTGTTCAGTTTTGGGCCCCTCACTACAAGAAAGATGTTGCATTGCTGGAACATGTCCAGAGGAGAGCAACCAAGCTGGTGAGGGGTCTGGAACACAAGTCATGCGAGGAGTGGCTGAGGGAACTGGGGTTATTTAGTCTGGAGAAGAGGAGGCTGAGGGGGGACCTGATCGCCCTCTACAACTGCCTGAAAGGAGGCTGTAGTGAGGTGGGGGTACATTAGGAAAAAATTCTTCACAGAAAGGGTTGTCAGGCTCTGGAATGGGCTGCCCAGGGAGGTGGTAGAGTCCCCATCCCTGGAGGTATTTAAAAGAAGGACAGATGAGGTGCTTAGGGACAGGGTTTAGTGGTGGGATGGCAGGGTTAGGTTAAAGGTTGGACTCAATGATCTTAAAGGTCTTTTCCAACCAAAGCGATTCTATGATTCTGTGATTCTATGAAATACAGGGAGAGGGAAGCCGTGCCATTAAATGGAGCTGGCTGCGGAGGCAGGAACAGGCAACCATCATATGCACAGAAGGTGCGAGGCCACTTTTATGGTAACTGGAGGCATGAGATCTTGAAACTGCATAGAGTTCTTGATTATTTTTGTAGGAATTGGTGAGGTTTCTGCAGTGCCTGAGTGGATGGTCCAAGTTACATCAGATTATACAACATTCATACGATAAAACACAATTAACTGCTTAGTGAGTTATACATTCATAGGTTAGTACAGAATTAATCAGGTATTAAAGATCACTTATAACAACAGATATTAATACTGATTTCTTAACAGTCTCCAAAAATTATATACCAGTACTGAAGTAAACGAAGCCATTTCTAAAGTATGAAAAATGTATTTTGGCTGTTTACAGTTTGTATGTGACTATTTGTTTTGGATCAAGAAGCAAGAAGAGGTTAAGTCATGGCTCAATCACTATTGCACTCAGGTTGTTATTAAAGAGCACCTTTCCATCTCTTTCTTCACTGCATTCAGGCTTTCTTAACTCTTCCATCACCTGGCGCTTCAGTTCAGGAGGAGCAGTTTTAGAGAACTCACAAGTTTCTGTCAGGAAATCCAGCAACAGCTCTCCATCCTTGTTCCCTTCAATAAAGCAGCTGGTTATGTCCATGTGGGATGGGAGCTCGTGGAGCTGGTACTTCAGCCCGGCTGAATCTAGCATCCTTTTGATGTCCGCAGAGGAAACATAAGAGCAGAGGTCATCTAAAGGCAAGGCAGACTTGTACTTCTTCCACAGCATTTCCCAGCCACTGCCTCCTGAGAGATAAGCCACCAGAAAAATGTTTAGGAATAAGGAAAAACACTGTTTGAACAAATTTTTCATCACCTGGGTTTTTTGAGAAGTTGTTCTCATTGCAAGCGGGGTCTCTCCCGCGTTGGGATGTCTCCTGGGGCATGGTGGAGACAGCTGCCTCCCTGCTTCGGTGCCTCGGGGTTGGGGGCTGCGGGAGGGAATGGACATGTTACCTACCCTGGAGCTCCAGCGCCTCCCATCGAGCCCCCAGCTGAGGCCAGAGCAGCTCAGTGCACTCAGCCCTGTCCTCTTCCACTCCCAACACGTTGCGCCCCTCTGCTGCATGCACATAGGCAATATCTCTCAGGGACAGGCTTCTGTAGTCCACATGCTGAACACCAGCTATTTGGTGCCATCTTGATTTAAACTATCCCCTAGAATTCAGCTGGCTGTTTGGAAGACCAAATCCTCTCCTATTCCTTCACCCAATTAATTTGTGGTTGAGCTACACGTGAGCTTCAATGAAACACTTATTGCCTGTAAACTTTCTCCCTGCTATATGAAATACAAGGAGTGCAAAACCCTGATCACATTGTCCATGCAACTGGATGTGTGGTGGGGAAAAGGGTGGGATGGACAGAGCCCAGGATGAAGCCACGCCATTCTCCCAGCCTTCGCTCCCACCGCACTCACAAGCTGTTGGGCATGGGCAATGAAAGGGCGGCCCCTCACCCCAAGCAGAGCTCCCCAGTGGTGCTAGAAGGACGTTTTGGCTGTGTACGATTTGGTTGTGCAAAGGTGAAGAGCAAGGAAGGAAAAGGCTCCTGCAGCACTGCAATCGCCTCCAGAACTAAGCCCGTACCGAGCCCACGCTTGTGCGCGCTCCTCTTCTCAAGGGATGTTTTACAAAGAAAACCATCTGGGTAAGCTGAAAACTCCCCAGATATGTCTCCACATCTTTATTTTCCCTCACCCTGGCTCTGAGATTCAGCATTTCTGCTATAAATCATTTATAAAAGGATCACCCAGAATGACTGGACGGCATGAAAATAACTCGGAGCCTAATGTGTAGCTCTTGAGAGTTATGACTATAAATCTCCATAACCACTAAAACCAGTTGCTCGGTGATTTTGCAAATGCTTTATCTGCAAACAGTTATTTATAGTCAAATAAACAGTTTGGTGTTTAGAAGAGGGGCTACAATATTTTCTTCCACCTGGTGGAAATCGAATGCAGCACACTAATTGCAGAAAATTTGCTGGTGTCAGTGTTGTGTGACTCAGTGCCATCTCTGAGCCGAGCAATTATACACTACCTGAACGAAGCATTATTATAATAGCTCTCAATAGGCTCGGCATATGGCACTACTTTTGTTTTCAAGGCGATGTAAACAGATTTTTTAAATGCGTTAAAAATAACGCTGCATAGCTCTTGCAACTCGCCCGCTCTCCTGGCAGGGATGGGGCGGGCAGGGTTGCAACCTTCACCCACTGACCGAGCCCTCTCCTATCAATCCTGTTCCCAGGCTGTTTTTTAATTAACACATCCTAGTGTGTTTGGGCTGGAGATGACACTACCTTCCTTTTTTTTTTTTTGAAATGAGCTTTGTTCTGCTTATCCTTCAGTACCTCTTTTTGCTTCAGTGCTCATTTTCTAGGACTTCTTCCTTCCCCTCTCTATACCCCTCTTCCTCCCAAGGCTTCCCCCTTCCCTTCCCCTCTGCTATTCTGAGACCTACTCTTCCATATTCTTGCTGGCCCCAGCAATTTCTGCTCCGTTCTGGCCCTTCCCCTCTGCTATTCTGAGACCTACTCTTCTCTCCCATATTGTTGCTGCCCCAGCAATTTCTGCTCCATTCTGCTCCATCAGAAAACAGTCGCCTGGCCCAGAGAGGACTTCAAACACTTTTCATGAATTCAGATTTTTAATCACATTAATTTTGAATAGACACGTGTTCCTCCCTCTATTCACATTTCATTAATATCCAAAGAGACAGGTTAAGCAACTGGAAAAGTGTTTCAATTAACTGTACGCAGGTCTGATATTACGATCTGTTCTCGTGCAGCCAAAGAACAAGAACAGTAACTCAGATAATTTAAAATACAAATTTCTTGTAGTGAACTGCTTGAAAGCCCTTTAAATCAAAAACATTTTGGAGAAAAATAGTTTGAATAAATTCAGGTGGGAGAAGTGCCACTTCGTTGTGGACACTTCAGGAACACAAAAAAAAAGGAACTTCGTCGAACGTATTAGAGCTTGCAGACATGGCCAAATCAGTAAAAAATTGAGCTATAACCTCTGAACAAATAACACTTAACATCCCTGACAAAACTATCAGGTCTGACTGTTCACACAACTAAAATTTCCATAGCTTGTGAGGCAAATTAAAGGCTTTCTAGAGTCAAATTATACCTCACCATTGCAGTAGCTCTAGGATACCTCGCCCATAGTACTAAAAGGTCGTTGTTTACTCCGCTCCAACATTTTCTTGATGGATTGACCACAGAGCACCTCCCTGAGATCTGAAAGAGCCTAAGAATGCCGTTTTCCACCCAAAATGATGATATTAAGGAAATGGGCAGTTTGAGAAGAAAATGAACCATATGTGCTCTAACACCTGCTGTATGGCAGAGCCGAGCCCCCTCGTAGCCGTTTGCTTAATGCCATAAGACTCCAGGAGTGAGATAATTCGGTGCCCAGTCTGAAAAGCCTTTTACAGAACATAGCAGAGGCTGAAGGAGTTCTTGCGAGTGAAAGCTGTGGGACGGAGCCCCATGCCCACTTTGGGGCTCTCTGCTGCATCCATCACTGGCCAGGCTGTAGGATGGGGAAGGACAGAGGGCGAGAGAAAGGCATTTTGTGCCCATGGCACAGGTTTGCTGGCTCACAGAGCCTTTGACTTTACAACCTGCAGCACAGAGCTGCGCAAATATCAATGGTGTGCAGATTTCAATGGATGTAGATGAGTGGATAGCACTTATTATGCAGCCAGTTCACCTCTATAGGTGATAAAGGATGTCTTAAATAAAAATGTGCATTGGTTTCTAGCTGGCCTGTGTTGAACTCACAGGAACCCCAGAGGTCCTGATGGCTCTCAACCGACCGAGCAGCGCTGGTGGAGCAGCTCTCACCTGACACCAGGATAATGAGGAGCTTCGCCTGTGTTTCCAGGAGGCTGTGGAAGTACCGGATAGTTGCTGGGACATCTTTCACATAGTACAGCATCTGGAAAGAGCAGAGATGCTTACAGAGGTATACGGTACGGTCCTGGTGAAAGTTGTAACTGGTACCACTATGTAAAAGAAACCAAATGGGGGCAATCTTGAGCAAAGAGCAGCAGGACAAGAACACAGGTTAGCACAACGCCGGGCAGCGGGCTCACGCTGAAGGCTTGGGGCTGTCACTGTCTTGCCTGGCTCTCCCAGGACCAAGCTCATGTTCATTCATTAACCTGAGATAAAAAGACTTGCCTTTCTTAGCAGGGAAGATGACTTGTAACGGCTTCAGTAAACTTGGAAATACAAAGGCAATTTCACAGAGAGGACAAGGAGCTTTGAAACCACTAGTTAAAATGTATTTTTAGTTGACTGCCACCCACAGCCTGGTTAATAGGACCACTGTGCTCAAAGTTGCTTTGCTGTAGCTCATCTTTCATTTTTGCAGTTCACTTATGCTTAAGTACTTTAAATTACAGGGAAATAAACTCACTTTTCCTCCCCTTAGAGTGGATAATGAGGTTACATACCGCATGCCTACTTTTAACAGCCAAGTCTTTGACAACATTTTCTTTGCAGAGACTTTTACCTGGATCATGTGAATGAAGTCCCATTTTTTAGACTTCTTTTCTGCACTCATTCGACTTTCATATTCATAAGCTGTCTCCTCATGCCAGGTAAACTTTACGTTCTCGAGGTTTGATGTCTCAGCCACATGCTCTGAAATACAGGAGAAGGCAGGACAGAGTTATCTCAATTGCAAATACGGGACCAATTTCCACGCAGAGCTTTAATACATCCAAAAGCCATATATAGGCAGAGAGTTTTGGTACCAGTTTAACAGAGCAGTGGAATATTTAAAACCTTGACCCCATATGTGTAAAGGCCTTTGCTGGATGAAGTCTTAAGAGGGTCTGATGTTTTACTCCTTGCACCCTCATTTGGGCTCCTCTGGTCTTTACTTGATTTAAAAAAAAAAGAAAGAAACTCTTCCCCATGAGTGGCTCAAGCTGCATTAAAAGATATTAGCTGGGATAAACAAGTATGAGGCCACAAGCAGCACATTTCATGCTGAATGGGAGAAGAGCTGATGGCCCCTTCATTCAGGCGCCATGCAAGACCCACATGGCTGAACAAAAGCCAGGCCACGGCACCGGGTTTTCCAGAGACCAAAGAAATAAATACAGAGGCTCGAGGATGGATCAAGAGGACTGTGCTCTGGAAAGAAAGCACAATTAAAGCTCGAGAAGGGCAGAGAAAGCAAATGGCTCACTCTGGGAATGTGTCATGGGGATGGTGGGAGAGGGAAGGAGCTTTGGTCTGTGAGCAAGGACCCATATCTTGACATTTGGCTTCTGCTCCATTCAAATAATTTTTCAAAAGCCCACAGTTTCTACCAACTGCTTCAAGTAAAAGGGATAATAACGTTTTAAAGCAAAGGCTAGTATAAAGAGCGGCACTTGGCTTGTTTTCAGACCCCAGTACAACGCACATCCAGCAACTGAGGAAAGCAGAAAGCTGAGAAGTGGAAACAAGCAATAAGTTATACCAAGGGACTGGCTCATCACTGCATTTCTTTGCTTTTTATGGGAGCAAAACTGAGAGATAATTTCATCATTTAGGGGATGCCGGAATACTAATGTCCATCTGCTGGCATATGGAGCTCATCTCACTGCGCTCCTGCCTGGCGCCCGGGATTGCTCCAGGACAAAGCTAGCCCTGATGCAATTCCTGTGCTTCGCTGGAGTTAACATAAATTTAAAACTTAAATGGCCCAAAGGCAGACTGAACCTTAGCTACAGAACACATGTTCAAAACAACATGATTTGCTAAGACCAGCGCCTTTACACCACTAATCACAATGTTTCTCCTTCTGGGCTCTGATTAGCACATATCCCTGTCGGACAGATGAGAAATGCTCCATCAGTGCTTATCTCCTCTCTTTTACGGCTGGAAATGGGCCACCCCTTTCGGATGTTGCTGCTGTTACTCTGTTCGCTTCCATTTATCAGTCACTGGCCCCAGTGCTTGCAGTTCAGATTTAATTTGCTGTTTTAAATTCAGGCTTCATTCGGCAGCGGTTGAGATCACCATCGCAAATAATCTGGTGCAATCTAGTTCAGTTCAATTGCTAGACAGTCTGCGAGGAGACACTAGGAAGAAAACTGAATTGCTTGCCAGGGTGGGCTTTTAAAGTCAAAATTTCAGAAAGGGCAAACTATTCTGATTATGGGAAGTTTCTGCTCAAAATTCCTCTGAAGGCAAAACGTATCACCCTAACCATTTTGAAAAGTTTTCCTTAATTTTCTCCTGGGCTCAACCCAGACTGTTGGCTGGGTCAGAAGCTGGTCCTGTGCCCTTGAAAGGTGCCGTCGAAACCGGGCTGCCCACAGTTGTGCCGCGCCGTGCAGGCAAGGGCAGCACAGCTCCACTGAGGTGTGATCAACGCTCCAACCATGGTCGCCAAGGGCGTTCACCTGGACATGGACCAGCAATGAAGGAAAGCCACAGCCTGACCACAGGACTTTGATGAGAGCCTCTGTTGTACAACACAACCTAAGATAAGCCTCAGCTTGTCATCACTGCATGTCCCAGTATGAAGTTCCTCTTGTGAGTGTGGCTTCTCCTTCCCAAGGAGAAAGTATCTGGTTAGGCAGAAAACATAACTACAGAATCCTCAGAGGCACAGATAATGCTTCCAATTCTCCCTGGAAAATCTTAGGGCTCAGAAACCTAATTAATGATACCTACTGGGGACATGATTAATTACCAAATAAGAAAGCTTAAAGAAAGAAATTCAGATGAATATTTAATTTCCAGTTTAGCATAAAACTTAAAATAAGGACAACGTCTTGTATTTTCTTTAACTTTCTTCTGGAAAGAAACTCAATGAAGTAAGATAGGACTTCCAATTAGTTGGTGGTAGGTGGCGAGACCACTAGGTAGATTCAGCGCAAATGCAGTCCCACATAGCCTATGGTTAATGGCTCAGACAGGACAGAAATGCTATGTGCAAGTGCCCAAACTGTCTTATAAACAAAGCAGGTGCTCTGTTGCCCATCCCTCACCATCTCAGCCTGGAGCAATGTAAAAGCGCCTGGGATTTTGCATGAGCCATCTTTTCAAAGACCGGGTCCATGTAATATAGAGACAGATATAAAAAAATTATGTTTCCTGGGAGCTTTTGGTGCTTCCAGCAACTCTGAACTCCCCCATTGCAGGGAGAAAGGGATTGTTACTATTATTATTTTTCTCCTTAGACTTCCACAAGTTGCTCCATAATGGGAATGCTTTGGGTTTTAAGGTCTTAAGCAAGAGTAAGAGTTGGAGATTGCCATCGTGGTTTTGCAGTCGGGTATTTACTATGGTTTGGAGCATTTTCAACAACGCAGACTGTGTTCATACGTTACTGCCACATGTGTTCAGCAGCCACTTTCTGGCTCTGCTCGTGATCTGCTCGGGGCTGCTCACAGCCTGCGTGGTGTAGCTGGTGTCACCTCCATAATAACCTGCTAAGGTAAAGCCTGGTAGGTGTTAACCCTGTGATAATCAAACTGTGGATTGATATTTAGTGCTTGCTTTGTAGGGCAATTTGACCAAAGCAGCCCTGCTAACATTCGGTCCTCCTTGGAGAATGCTTGCCTTTCCTTCATGAACGTTGCCCAGACCTTTGGGCTGGGGGAAGGAAACAAGCTCTAAGTCATGGAACACACAGCAAAAGCCTTTCCTATTCACCTTGCTTTCCTTTCCATGTTTTCAAATTCAAAGGATGGTATCTAATTTAGTGCAACACTGTGAGGTTTAGCTATTTGTTATCTAGAAATGATTTTTTTAAGATATGTGAGAATTGCCATGAGACACTAAAATGTTCCCTTCAAAGTTGAGGAAGGATCCTGATTCAGTGCAAGTTGAAAGAGAAAAATTTTCTCTCTGAAGTGTGGGGATTTTACTCTATTCCCATGCAGTCACCCACCAGTTCCCGCCTTGCTTAGCTTTTAAAGGCTGCCTAGTCCCAAGCCTTTGCCACGCAGAGTTCTTTGCAGTGTGAGAGACTAAGATTTTAATGAGACACTGAGCATTGCTGAAAAGCAAGGATGCCAAGAACTCATAAAATAGTGACTTTTTTTAACTTTTAAGAACAATTCTGACAAGAATGCAGTTGAATGTGGGGTCATCCAGCATTCAACTCTTTTTAATGCATTTAGCGTACTTAATGTAAATTTAATTTATTGAATGTAAAAATACCTTTGTACTTGAAGATTTGGTCAGCACTTGGCTCTATTACATCATTGTTGATGGTGATCCCTGGATATCTGGCTTGCACTTTTGAGAGGATCAGCAGGTCCATCTCACCTAGAGAAGCAGGCGACATGATATACAAGATGAAAGCAAAGCTCAGGCGAATGTCATCACCACCACCATCACATCCCCGGTTTTGAAGACGGGTGCCTGCCATTCATGTACAGAAAATGTACCACGCGGGTATAAGCAGCTGCTTTGTATTCTCAGCAGACTGCCACTGAGGGTTTATCTCTAGGATTTGAGAAAAATTTAAATATCCCAACTATCTCCATTCCTCCTCTATCACCATAAGTGCCAAGGAAAAACCAGATGCAGTCATGCACATGGCATGACTGCGTATTTTCTGGACATGGCCTAACCTCCCGGGGAAGATCCTAAATGGCTTTGATAGTACTGGTTCTGATGGCCCCACATCACCAACGAACCTGGCAGGATTTCTTAGGAGTCAGTAAGAGCGTTTCTAGCCAAGCATCTCACTGTTTACCAGGTCATGTGGGTGAGGGAGAAGAGAATATGTGTTTACACTAGAATTAGAAACAACATTCATGTCTGTTTGTTTTTAGTGTCCTGTGTCTTTTTCCATAAGTACGATGAATAGTGCACATACCATTTATGTTTATCTAACCCCTGTTTACTGAATACCCCAGAACTGACTGTGCTTTCTTTGTGAGGAATAGTTCTCTCTGGACGCCATTCAGGTCAGCTGCAATTATTTTATGGAAGTACCATGGATAGTACCAATATGGTACTATCATGGAAGTACCAATAGATACAACATTTCAAAATTTAAAAAGAGCTGCCCTTGCTCTTGTCCACTTCTCCCCATCTGCAGTGTAGGAAGTCTGGGGAGATGATGCTCCTGACTGAGGGAGGACCAGGGACAACACCGTGCTGGCTGGCTTAGCTTTCTTAGGGTTCACTTCTGCTTGTTGTGCTTGAATAAATTTAAGGTGGAAAAAATAATAGAAGAGTAAATTAAGGTAGAACGAGTGAAGTAGAGGGTAACTGCAGTGAATAAGAGACCCAGGGGTCACGTTGCAGGCAAATATTGAGCTTTGCCCCGAAAGACGTACTCACACTTGCACACAACTCCACGTTATAAAATTCCCTACAAATGAACAAAATTGCGTACTGAATGGCAGATCACCCAGCCAGCCCCGCTGGTTAGACAGGCCCATAGTGAGGGACACAGGGGTCGTGCTCCCATCGTATTTGCACAACTTCTGCTCATCCTTACGATTTCCAGTGCCCCTGGGCTCCCACCAGCCCTTTCAGCATTAGCTCCATTTTCCAGAAGACTGGGGGTACAAAAGGAAAATATTAGGGATTAAATGGCCTTAATGCGTACTCCAGAGCTCAACCCAGCCCGCCAGGTCCTCCCCCAGGGGGTCCTTTTCACTACGAAGAGCTGTCTGCCTGCTCCTGGCCCCACCACACATCACCATGGGTCAAAACCAGGGACCCCAGCCCAGGTCTCACCTGCTCATTAACGCCCCAAGATTTTAACCCACAAAAGTTCAATCTTTTCAGACTTATGCATCTTTCTTAAAGCAACCAATAACACCAAAATTTACATGGCATCTGTGCAAGCGTGTTCTTTGAGGGAGGGAAATTGGATTTGTGAAGCAGCAGAAATAGCTGCGGCTTTGCTATCACTGCAGACGCTGTGTTCAGTGGAAACATCAGAATAAAGTCAGTCATCTGCAGGCTGCCGTGCTAAAATCTGGGAACACAGAATTTTTAATGAACTGCTGCAATATTTTTGATTTTTGGTTGCTTTACCAACTTTCTGTAAAATGGATTAGGCCTTTGAAAAGGCTGTGCAGGTCCTGATAAAAAAAATTTGAATTTCGCATTTCCATATGCGGATAGGTTAATATATTTCCTTCCACTCTTCTGTGGCCAAATCACCCTTGTATTGTTTTTAACCAAAAAAACCCACCCCTTTGATTCATAATTTAATCCACAGCCTTAATTGACTTCAGTTAGCTCTTTTATATGCAAACAAGTGTCCTGAGGCATTTTACAGTCAAATCTGTGGCAGCTTGCATTATCAACAATTTGGCAATTAGGCTATCCGAATTATTTAAACTCTCCAACACAATTACCTTTTAAAGGCTACCACTATGTTCACCATTAAGTTTCTAATTAAACATTTTACGTAACGGGATAGTTTATAGCACAGTTGCTACTTTATAGCGGCGTTGATGACTTTTATGGTTTTTAAAGGTACAGAGTGCTGCGCGCTGGAGTGTGAACTTAATAAGGCAGAGGCTGTAGGCGAAGGCAGGCGCTGTAGACGGGCGGGTGTAATGGGATATGATGCTACATTAAATGGTTTGCTTGTCTCTCGAGGTGGAAAAGTGGAAAGGAACCGCTTATCCATCCCTGCTCCCTCCCTGCAAAGCGTGGGGGCGGAGGGGGCCAGGGTAGCTCCCTCGCCAGGGTTAGCTGGGGGGGATTGGGGAATTTGCTGCCTCCTGACCCCCCAAGGACCCATGGTGGGAACAAGCCAGCAAGCAGCAAGGTTTTGGTGGTGTTGAGGGGTTTTTACATCATAAAATGAGCTTTGCCTGCACATTATTGATTTAATACCCATCGTGCTAAGCTCGAGTGTCCCTGGTTAGGGAGTTAAGTACCGCAGTAAGTGTTCCTGTTAAAAACAACATTTTTTTTGGCAGAAGAATGGTTTCCCTTGTTTGGCGAGCAATGTTCCTACCCTGTCACACTGTCTGCTTTATAACCAATGCCCGCCATTTACATACATATTTTTTTTACTTATTAGGAGAGATTGACAAAGCTGAGATTAGTCTTTGGAGATGGTATGACTAAAGCATTTAAACTAAATTAACTGTTCTTATAAAATTTAAGTTTGTTGACTTAATGGGCAGAGCAGAATTAGAAAACATAAGCTTTAATTATGGGGGAACTTAAGAATTTATTGAGAAGCCGCTACTTGATGTTATCAGTGGTGTTTTTCCACCCAGTGAACTTCAGATAAGAGACTTATTTCTTCTGTTTTCCCCTGGATTTTTTCTGGAGCTTATGTTCAGCTCCAGTGTTTTGGCAGACAGTAGCTCCAGTAGGGTCTTGTGCATTGACTGTGGTCAGCAAGTACGTACAGGCAAACCAGAGGTCAGCCGAGGCTGCCACGTAGCAGTGACGGGGAGTTACTGCATCAGTAAATAGCTACAGGGGAGAGTAATTGCAATGCAGGTAAAAATGTAATATTCTGGGGGATCTAAGACATTATAGTGCTTTTTTTGTCTACAAAAACTATGGGGCAGTTCAAGCCTCTGTCTGCCCTTGAGGAGTGATGGTGCAGAAGGAGGCTCCTCGTGGAGGGCATACTAAGGATCAGCGTGCGGAGGCACAAGCTGTTTTCAGACAACGTGGCCACACACCAGCCAACGCCATCTGCTCCTGGAGCTAACTTTTCAAGAAAAGACTTATTTCCCACTCTGCTCCTTTCTGCAATTTGCAATCCTCTATTCTGTGAGGGAAAAAAAAGGGAAAAGCATATCAATATTGAAGTTCATAGCCTACCTGCTCCACCACCAACACTTAGAATATTGATTGTAGACTTCCCGTTTCCAATACTGAAAAACATTATTTATACATTTTTGGAAAGCTACCCAGTAGAGAGGGTTACATCCATTTTGTGAAGCACCAGAGATCCCATGAAGATTAAAATCTGCAGGGCAAAATCAAATGCAATGCGCCCGTGTACAGGCATGCCCACAAGCTGGCAGGAGGGATCAGATTCAGAACTCCAGTCTTTGGAGATTCTTGATTTCCAGTTATTTTGGCAATTTGTGAAGGAGTTCTGCTTTTACTACGAGTGCACATAAGCAGCAGCAGGTACATGCCTTCTCCATGTCTGTGCTTTGAGGACCAGAGACCTCCCCAGGTCTGGACCGGCAGCTTAAACATTATTTGTAGAAGTTTTACATTTTGCAAAATGAGGAGAAAGAAGGGAGAGTGTAACATGTTTAAAATCCCTTAGTGAGGCTTAGGCAGAGCCATAAACACCTGGGCCCAGAGAAGGGCCTCCCCAGAACCAGGATTTGACCCCAGCTGCCTGCTGCCCAAGCCAGCCCGCAAAGCGAGGGGTCCAGCGAAAAACACGCATGTCAGGCAAAGCAGAAGCTTTATTTACACGTACTAGAAGAGACCATAAATATTACCTGAAAAGATTACTTTTGAACAGATGCTTTCAATCACATTTAATGTTAGAACGGAATACCTGTTATTGCATTCTAGAGCTGTTTCAGAATAAGCTATATTTGCATGCAAGGAAACAATTCAGCCTTATCTCCTCCCTGCTAGGCAGGCTGTGTCCCAAAGAACAGCCGTTCAGCAGCGTGTGCAAATGAAATCTCCAGCCAAGCCCTATCAGAGACCTACAGACGGGGTGGCTGGCGGGGAACAGCAATCTGCCTCTTGCAGGCACCCCCCCGAGCCTGGCCAAGCCCATGACCACCGCAAGAGCATGCCTCAGGCTGTCCTTCAGCTCCACGTGGCCACCTCCATGTTACCTCGCTATCACGTCCGGCAGCTGCCTCTCCATGAACTCCCGCATGCACTGGTGCTCCGTCGAATTCGCGAGGAAGAGGTGGAAAGACTGGAGGTATCTGGCGGGGTCGGTGAGCAAGCTCCTCATGGGCGATGCCATGCTGGGGGTTGGCAGGTTGCAGGAGGGGACGGGTTGCTCCCTGCAGCTCTTCTTCCAGACCTGGAGAAGGAGTAACAAACGCCGGAGAGGTAAAAACCAGCACAACCCCAGATTTTGCTCCACATCCTCAGCCTTGCTGCTTCACCTTAGAGCACTTAAAAAAGCATTATGTAATTTTGCAATAGAAGCTGTAAAACAGGTTTGAGCAGCAAAGGGTAATACATCATCTTTAATCAGCGCTGGGGAAATGCCAGCATTTTTTAACTGTGCTGACACAGGGCTCTGTTAAGACCCAGTAAAACGGGTCTTTAGACGGTTCTTAAAGAAAAGAAAAATTCCCCTATTTCTTGAAGGCACGGAGAGGCTCCGAAGACTCGGTCTGGATTAGAAGAAAGTGCAACACACATCTCCAGAGATGCTGGGCAGATGTCTCCATCTGTTTTTTAAATCTTTTGATGTTCTTAAAGGGAATGCTGATGGTGGGGTGAAAACAATAAAAACCTTATAAATGCACTCTTTATTTTTCTAGTTCCTCTGAAGATAATGGCATGATTCCCATGGGCTAAGCAGTTAATTCATGAAAGCCATGTGAGTTACTGGAATGGATGTTGTGCTAAACCTGGTTTACAGAGTCGGGAGCAGGGGAGGCAGGGTGTGCTACCGGGAAATGTCAGGCTGTACCTTAAAAAGTGCACAAAGATGTCTTCATCCCCTCTTAAAATGCAGTGTAAGTCCATTAGGTTTGTCCTAACTGGCAAGGAGATAGCGGTCCTCTTCTTTCTCGTGGCTTAAGGACCACACTGCATCTCTTACAATCAGATCTGACTTCCCTGCAGAGGTTACGCCCCAGGCACCTCTCGTTATTTTTATTTCTCCCTTTGGGCTGTCTCCAGCCAAGCCCTGTTGTTGTTGAAGCACAGAAGCCAAGAGCAAAAGCTTCCCACCCGCTGAGGTCCCCCAGCTCCCAGCGCAGCCGGGATGGCTTCCCTTGCCCCACTGCGACCCCGCGCCCCTTCGCTCGCCAGCGTGGCCACCGAAATACAAACTGTGGGCTTTTTGCAGACTACTTCTCTTGTTCTTTCGAATTATAATTCTGTCCTCTGCTGTGCCGAAGTCCCTCCCAGCTGCACATCACATAACCACGGTCTTGTCCCTCCCCCAAGTCAGGAAGGGAAACACGGAAGAGCAGCGGGCTCAGGTTCATGGTCATCATTACCTCCCTTTCTGGTGGTGAACTGCTGATAACTTTTCTGACTGACTGTGCAAACAGTTTTCCACCCACAGAGCAGCTGTCTCATCAAGGCCACATCTTCCTCCCTTGCTTATGAGAGTGCCATACAAGATGGTGGCAGCCCTAAAGCCCATGTATAGGAGCACCTCCTTCTCCCTCGTATGCCAGGACAGTTACAGCACTGGCAGAAAGATGGGCTTGGCACAATTTCTCCCTGACATCTCTACTTTGTCTGGCCACCCCCTTATTCTCTTTCTGGTGCTCATTCCTTTTCAAAGGACAATTTCTGGGGACAGCCATCGTGCCAAGCAGTTGCAGTTCCCTGGCTCCTCCTGCTCTCTTTTCAACGATAACATGAACTGCTTGGCTTTGCCCACCTTCCTTTTCTGCTCATGCCAAAGATAACATCCAGCTCGTGACATGTTTTGGTTTTGCATCTCACAAGCCACATCACTCCACATCCCAAAGGTTCCCACAGGAGGACGCGAGGTGAGGGATGGTGGCAATGCACCTCCTCCAGCACGTGCTGCTCCCAGAGCCATAGGTCAATTAGCAATGCCTGTTAATTGCTGTCCTTGAGACAGCCCCAAAGACCAGCAGCAACCTCCGGAGCAGGACCTAAGGTGTGATTTTCCACCCATACCACCACTGAGGCAGACTGGGCTTTCATGAAGCACACTCCTTGTGCCCTAGCCCCCCAGACAGCAAGGGTGCTTTCAAGGGAAAAACCAGCAAAACTGGGTATGTTAAACAACAGCAATGATTCAAAGGGCCTGGAAACATGTAGATGGGAGAGCTTTAAATGCTTTGCTGGGTCCTGGGTGCCCATGAGGGCCAGTTCAGAGAGACATGGGAAGATGATGTCCCCTCCCCAGCCACAGAGCTCACTGCCCTGCAGCCCGCTTCGGTGAGCCTGGCGGTGTTAGATAGGAGAGGCGATCTGGCCCATGCATTAAACAGGCAGACCAACAAATTCCAGCCAAATTGACTCTCTTAGGTGGAGGACGATGGCTCAGGCTCGCAGGGTGGTACCTGCCGCTCACCGCCCCAGCCACCGCATGTGAGCCCTCTGGCAACCCCAGGTCCTTTGCCCAGATGTTAAGCACTCAAATCCTCAGAAAAATCTGAATTAACCCATGGAAACCAAGTGTAAATTTTGCCAGAGAGAGTACAGAAGCAAACACCTGGAGGTACGTCAGGTGAGAATTACTGCTAACCCACCCTGAAAATAACGTGGTGTATTTCTTGCTCACCTGCTCCTCTGCTCTGCCCAGCTCCTCCCTTTTTACTTTAAGTGCATAAAGACGCTTTGCCATTTGCCACTAACCTATTTTATGACGTTCAACCTTGAGAAAATATTTCGCAGTTAATAAGAGGAGATTTAGATAATCAACCTCTTTTCCATGCCTCCCTCTACTTCCTGTGATTCAATTTGCCGACGTCCCCTGCTTGGCAGTCTGTAATGAGCAGCTGAGATTCATTTTCATGTTAGGTGCAGTTCAAGGAATTTGTCTCATTTATTTCATTATGCTTTTGGCTGTTTGAATTTGCCCCATTTAATTCATTATGTGTTTGGCTGTTTGAATTGCAGCCAGTTAACTTTAAAAATGAATAAAGAGGAGGAAGAGCAGGACTTTTTTCTGAATCAGGCTGATGGAAACTTTGGGATAATAATGTTCACTTAGGCACATCCCCTTCGGTGACAACCAACATTTATACATGCCTCCCTAAAAAGATTGAGGAGTTCCAAAAACAGACTCTGTGTTTACGCTGCAGTTGCTTGATCCACCCCTGATTTGCACCGGCACTAGCAGAATTAAACCTGCTTTAAACCCACCGTAAAACTCTTTAAAGCTTTTGCTGCCTGAGAAAGGAGCAGACAACACCTGCCTGTGGAGGCAGGGGGCAGTTCAACCCCTGCCAGCCGTGGCCAGCCCGCACCCTCTGCGGGGTCCACACCGGCCGTCCCACGCCTGGCACAGCCACCAATGCACGGGGAGCATTTAGCCATGGAGATCTATCAACATGGTAATCAGAGTCGGGATGAAAAGGAAAGCCCTGCCCCTGGTATATAAGAAACGCAGCTCTTGACAAATTGGAAATAGTTGTCTCGGTCTCGGCACACGGCAATATACAGTATTATTTACAGTTTGCCTATAGAAGCCTACCATTATAGGTTACTTTGCTTCTTCCCAGCAGCTGAGATTTTGCTTATCCCTTACTTTGCAGGGCTTAAGCAACGGGAAGCATTTTCCAAGTTGTGTACACCCTCCTGTTATGAGCAGTTTCATCCCAGGGAACACACTCGTGGAAAAAAACACTGCCGTATGCCTGCTGTCACGCTGCCTTTTGGTGCTCAGAGCATTAATAACATATTTGCCCTGTGTGTGCCTCACATTATTCATTGTTCCCTCACGTCTTGTGAGAAGGAATTTTTCTGAAATTAAACGAAGAAGTTTTCCTTCTGGACTTAGGTGGAGAGATTAACTGTTCACGCTGCAAAAGTCATACAAAAGGATAGAGTGATATAAATAATCATGCTTTCAAAGGCACAGTTACAGGAAGATTGGCTATAGTTTGACATGCAGCTGGAAGTTTACCAAAATAAAGATTCCACATCAACGGTTAAAATTGCTTCAGCTAGAATGATGACTCTGTGGGAAAGCAGCACCCACTGCATTTTTTTCTCCCTCCGTAGCCAGCATTTCCAAACCACTCGGAGGGCAGGAGTTTCAAAGCCCTTCGCCAAGGAGCAAACTGAGACCCACAGGCCCACGGTGTTTCGGCACTTTCTGCTGGTCCCACCACAACGAGGGATGTCACCGCCACACCGCAGGGACGAGCAGCCCCGCAACTGTTTCGATGTCTTGAATCGATGATCGCGACTTCATTTGCAAGAGGCATTTTAAGGAACATGAAATCCCAGCTACTCTGTCAGACAGCTACAAACTGAGCCAGCTTCTCCTGGCTTGCAGGGTCCCAGCAAATGCTAATTCTGCGGCAAGGCTCCCACGCAGGCTGTGGGTGCAAACCCAGCAGCAGCCGTGCAATGCCATGAAAAGCCCTGGCTCCCTACCGGCAACAAGCACCGCTGTTCAAACATAGCTGAACAGCAAGGTCAGGGGTGTTTTCCTGCTTTTCTGTGCAGTTTTGGAAATCTAGATGAATTGGCATCACCAGAACTGTGCATGTTGGTCAAAAGAAAATAAACTCAGTGCATCTGGCCCATGCTTTTTTTCCCCTCTGCAATCCACTAAAAATGAGTTTTCCAAGTGCCAGTTGCCATTTAATATTAAAGCCTAAGTTTAGAGAGCCAAAAATAAAAATGATGTGCATCTGGTGCTTTTAAGTTCTTTATGAAAATAAAAGATGCTGCTGTTAATTTTCTGCTTTAATTTCCCCTGGAGATGCATTCTGTGAGCTTTAAGCCAAATCCCAGCCATTTCAGTTCGACGTGAGCTCAGTGCTGGCCTAGTGCAGGGTAAATGGGGGTGGGGTGGGGGGGAGGCTGCACCATTGCCTAGACCTTACTTTCATTGCCCCCAGCACCTTCCCTTCCCAAGGGTGAATCACAGAATCACAGAATCATTTAGGTTGGAAAAGACCTTTAAGATCATCAAGCTGCGGAGGTGCCTGCGCAGGGTAGGGCAGGGCTGGGCTGAGCTGGAGGCTACAAGCCAGTGGAGAAGGGCAGGAGCCAGGACGGGGACTGGCATCGCTCTGCAAAATGCAATCCTGCAGAGAAGCTTTTCACGCTGCCCTCGGGCAG